TGTGTAGGTTTGAAGTCCATGTGTTGATGTTTCTTGAAGTAAGGCCCGTTAATAAAGACAGCTGTGAAACCACACCACAATGTCGACCTTAAAATCATTGAGGTATGTAGGAAATGTTACATGTGGATTCATTTCCCACCAGATAACGCAGTTGCGCATGTGTTGACACTTGCATACGGAGAAAATATAAACCATGGTAATCAGGAAATATAACTTTGGAATCGCAACAGTAGAGAACATAACCAGAATAACCAAACACTACAAAATAGCGATCGTAACAGTAGAATATAAGATCGCGATAAATAGGTACTATAACTTAGGGATCTTAACGGTTGAGCACAGAACCAAACTCTATAAACTGGGGATCGTGACAGTAGAATATAAGACCGCGATAACTAGGCACTATAACTTAGGGATCTTAACAGTAGAGAACATAACCAAGATAACCAAACACTACAAAATGGGGATCGCAACAGTAGAATATAAGACCGCGATAACTAGGCACTATAACTTAGAGATCTTAACAGTAGAGAACATAACCAAGATAACCAAACACTACAAAATGGGGATCGAAACAGTATAATATGAAACCACGATAACCAGGTACTTTATGTTAGGGATCGCAACAGTAGAGAACATAACCGAGCTAACCAAACACTACAAAATGGGGATCGTAACAATAAATATGAGACCACGATAACCAGGTACTTTATATTAGGGATCGCAACAGTAGAGAACTTTGTATGGTAATTAAGTACAAAAAACACCGTACTCAGGTGGCAATTTAACGATCAAATGGATGAGAAATTATTATCAAAATATTACAAGCAGTGTCTTCAAATATCACGAAAAAAAAATCGTCTCTAAAACTTTTATTGTGGACAATTTCTTATACGAACCAAACAAAAAACAAACGATGTTGTCTTGACTAAGTGGTCAAAGCGACGCACATATTCAAATTTTACCTTGTGTTACCTTTTTCTCATAAGTACAGTAGCACTTATAGTAGGAATGGGGCGGATACACAATACAAAATATTTACTCATATACTCCTTTAACAACCAATTGATAAATCTTCAAAAGTATTTGAGAGACGCCCTCAGGTGATAAGTCATAGAACCACTTGAGAAAGTCAGCAGAGCAGATACAAAAGATCCACAACATCACAAACTTCTGAATCTCACTGATTGACTGACATTGTTGGACGATTCTAGCTGTGTAACAAACAAACTTACCATAGAGTTATAAATACATCAAATAGAACAACAGCACAGGGACTACGTGTAGTAGCGTGAAGTAGTTACTTAATTCAATTACCTAATTTATCAACCCTTAGTATATGCACACAACTACAACTCACGCTACATAACCCAAATGACATTGCACACTATAGAGTGTGTGTCATTACATGTACAGCACACATGCACAGTCACAATGTGTACACACACCATGAATGAAGAGAATGTCCACTAGATACAGACACATACAAATATACCATTATTTGCACATACCATAATATTATGGTGTACACCCACACTGATGATATACATACAGGATATCAACACGATGGAATAAATGCATATGTTCATGTCATCTTATATGAAAAAAAGAGCATGAACAAGTGGAAAAAATATAATTTTTAAAAGATTGAAAGTGTAGCAACGAATGCACCAAAAATTGAGGAAACAAGGTAGGAATGGGCATGGTGTAATAAAACTTCCTCTGTGCAACCTCACAATGGGGCGTGTCCAACATCCGGTCCATGCCTACTTCGATTTTCTGTGTTCGTGATATTATACAACTTATGGGTACATACAAAAGTGTGTCTATGATTCTTCTTATTTTTGTATAGACAGTAACGAATCCATGACGTCGATAAACATTTCTAAAGGTATTAAGATTTTTTATTTTTATATTTTAATCCACCTATATAGCTAGTGTACGAAATCCTATTACCTTCTCATGCAATTGCAAAAGGAAGGACAAGTTGTAAGTAAAAAAAAAAAAAGAAAACATCATGGGTCCAAACGAATATTTGATTCTTCTGGTATCGTATAAACAGACTTTACAGTATTCACAGAAACCTCTAGTCATTGTATGATAAGTATAACTAAGTTCGATAAGTTTAGTCCATCTAGCTTATTGTATACAGGATAGAAAAAATAAACGCAATAGGCATGGACAAGATGTTGGACACCCTCCCCCTTTGT